AACTCTGCATTATTGCCCTGAAAAATACACTAAAAGATACATATACAACTCAAAAATACATTGCTAGAAGTAAGGGAGAAAGCTACTTAGACCAGTTTCAAAGAGAATGGGCCAAATGGCAAAACTTTTTTTGAAACACCCAAACTTGAAATTACGACTGATTTACCATAAGTAACTTATCAATTTATAAATATATTTGTTGTATTGAGTAAATGTAAATATTGATTACGCTCCCACTGATAGCTAGCTTAGAAATTCAAAAAAAAATACAAATTTTCAACAATCCTACCTTTCCTTTCTGATAATTGTATTGATGTTTGTATGATAATGAATGAGTGTGTGTATGTCTTTATATATGTTTGTGTTATGTCATGTTATGTATATATATTGTAACTGTATTGTATACTAATGTAAAAATTTGAAAAAATATATATAAATATATAAAAAAAAGTTTTATAGTAATGATTGACTTGATGATGCAGTGTATATAAATCTCTATGAAGGGGATGACAAGGTTTACAGAATTGACTATTTGCTGCAGGATTACAGAGAATTTTGTGCTAGATGTATAGATGTAGTTATACTAATAGGTAAATATGGCAGTAGTTTATGTTTTCAATAATACTTGATTAACTGACAGTTACCCCATCACTGTGTGTTTGTAAATATTGGTAGCTACAATTTTGATATGGTGATATCCGATGGGATGATGTTGTCGTGGTATCTTCCTCACTAAGCAAAAGACATCTAAGCTTTTTTTCACGTCTGCAACTACATGTCAAGCAACATTCCAAAGTTTGTACACTCGCGTGTGATGTACTGGAGCACTCAAATCGTACTGGAGTAGTCCATCGCGAAAGTAAAACTTGACTGATTTAGTTGGCCGAAGTATTGCAGAGAATATTGTTTTACGGATATGTAAATTGGTAAATATGCCAATGTCTTGATTATGTTGGAAGAAATGCTATTATTCCAAAAGCTTCAATAAAGATGAACGGTAATCAAATTGAAATTTGACACATGATCCAACCGCTAAAATGATAGCACAATACATCAACTTGAAATCTTATGTAAGGAATTATGTCAATTTCATTGAAGAATTGGTATTTATTTTTATTCAAAAATTACAAATAACTTTATCGCCACCCTACTATTCCGTCGACATATTATAAGCTGACACTGGGTTTAATGTTTTATACGATGATTCAAATGTCTTGTATGTGTATGTAATATGCTAATTAATGTAATTATCAATATAAATCAACTACTGTGATCTAATATTAGTTAATGACTCTATTTTTAGCAAACCATATCATGCATTATTTTTCGGTTAAAAATGTGGTTTTAGAAAAAAATTGATGTTTGGTATTACATAACATGGGCCTCCATAGTTTTAGAAAAGTAATTCCAATATGGCTGATTTTTTTATGGTGACATTAACTAATGACATGACTTTGAAGTTGTGATTATCAGTCTTTTGGAGCAGTTAACTTTCAACAATCCCACTACCTAACATGAGTTCTAAGGAACATTTTGACCGACATATCCTTGCAAATCGACTCTGTTTTGTGTAGATATGTTATTTCCTCCATAACGTGTAATTAATACAATTCAAACAATATTAACGAACTGAACTGAGCTGAAAGCTAATACATACTGCTACTCATATCCTAAGGATCGTAGTGATACCAAAATAAGGGCTATCGAGTTAAAATTCAAGAAAGTATGACCTTTTGTAACTTAGCTGAAAACAGACTTTACATGAACCTTAACCTCCTGTAATCAGGTGGTTCCATTATTAGCCAGTGACTAAGGAGACATATCAACCCTTTTCTAGGTAACTTGTCCATAACGGTAGTGGCCGCAGAATTAAGTCACTTCTCTGTAACGACGTCAGTGGCTGTATTATTTAGATTTAACTGTGGTAAATTGCTTATTTGACAAACAATGGTACGAAGAAGCTCTAACTACTCGAGTTCGTTATTGTTAAATACTACAAAATATGTTGAAAATTACAGAATCTAAATTACCTGCAAGAACAGCCAACACTAATGGTCCATTGAAATGTGTCATGTTTCCAATTTTCAGAAATATTCCGGTGTAACTTTCATTAAAATAACATCAAGTGGTATCCTTTCTTGACACGCTGAAACAAACAAATAAATGTGATTTACGTGTATATCTTATGTCAAATTCAAGGAAGCCGAACGTTATGACAGTGTTGTAACGACGAGTATTTGTTAGCTCTGTTGGTAGATGGCTATCTTTAACATAAGTTGCTCGTCACTTAGGTAGCATGGCCTCGGGTGAAATTTGTTCATGTTACGGTTAAAGTAATTTCCTTGTTATTGGCTATTGTGTCCAACAGTTCATATTACTGTACTTAGATGAGATGTTGTTACCACCTGTACATGTACTTGAAATGTGACTGTGATTTAAATATACATTTATGAATAAACGATGACTGTTACCAACTTTTACGTGTGTTTACGGCTACAATGTCAAAAGAAACACTAAACTGATACTATATTGTGTATGAATATTGGGTATGATTTATAACAGAAAATAGCATTAAGTGTCCTACAAAATTCGGGGTCTTAGAAAAGTACAAAGTTATCTAGTCTTGGCATGGTTAACCTGACGTTGTTTAGTTAGAAAACATATGGCGAGTTTTCGTATATTTTCACAAATTTGTTCTTGAGATAATGTCCGCAACTGAACTTTAAGCTATTGAGATTCTGTATGAATGTGTTAAGACGAGGAGGACTTGTTACAATACAATACGACTTGTATATGAAATCATATTTAATATGAAATGACTAAATATTGCTCAATGCGACTATTGGTGTCTGATTTTAAACATGTACGCAATAAGGTATACACAACAGTGCTAAGAAGTTATGACTTCAACAAATACGACCAGATTCTTAAGATCTACAGTCAATATTGAGTACTACTACATGAAATCTCATCATCGAAAATGGGTTACATTTTTGCTACCTCATTCTGTGATTATCACATTTTCACACTGAAAGTATGGGCTGTAATGTTATTAAGTTATTTGAACTATGTGTCCTCCTCAGAAAATGAAATAGTCCAGTTAATGAGTATTTCTTATGTATACTCAAATGTGTTAAAAAGAAGGTTTAACAAATGTTCATCATTGTTTTTGAATGGTTCTTCTTTATTATATGACTGACTCTCCCATGCAGTACGAAAAAGTCTTCAGCTGTGAATGTTGATAGGATATATATTTGATTCGTTAGGTTGATATCTCAACACCAGATTTAATAAAATTTAAACGACCTTCACTCTCATTAATCTTAATCCAGTGATTGACTACAGATGTGTTTGTGTATTGGATCTATAACTCCTATGTAACCTCATTTATTGATTAAAGATACATTTCATTAAGTGTGTCTGATTCGAAATAAGGATATCTTGCAGCGACATACTTTGAACTATCTAGCCTTATCTGACTTTAACACGAGTTGAAACTTGTGATGATTGTTTCACGTGATATGAACGAGTTGTGACAGCTCTTTCATTACATGCCTGGGAGTAAAGTAATTGTGAACGTTAAACTTTAGTGTGGTATCTTATTTTCTAGATCTTTTCCATCATAGAATCACTTAATGTGTCATTTGTTCTCAGTGTATATATCTGACGCAGTAAATAAAAAGTCGGCATAATAAATGTTAAAAATGCCATGTAATAATGTTGGATCCGGTTCATAAAGTTAACAATTATGTTCAAAGGTGAATGCCTTTTTGGGGGGATTGTTGGACGTCAGAAATCTGAATGGCTGTTTCCGACACATAGTCGCCTTTGACCATATACATTTCGACAGCAAACACTGAATTGTATATTAAATGTTGGTTTTTAATTCAGTTAAAATACAGTATGGTATACCAAACTGTGGTTTTAAAAATGATTTCGAAACATCCCTCGTACAAAAAAGAAGCTAAAAGAATTAAAACCTCATTCAACAAATAAAACTGTGATATGCTTTATATTTAATGTATAAAACGATGGAACGTATGTATAGAATATAAAGTTGGTCCGACGCATTATGATATACTAATATAATAGCTTATTCGGTACTCGATGTATTATATAATGGTGTTTTATACGTATACACATGTAATGTTGGTGTGACGCATTATGATATACTAATATAATAGCTTATTCGGTACTCGATGTATTATATAATGGTGTTTTATACGTATACA